CGGGTGTTCTGTGCATTATGGGGTGTCCCGTGCAATTAATAAGGGAGGATTTTCGAGATTGCATTCGTCGTCGTCGTCGACACACATTTGCCTCGCTTTGAGGCGCTTGCTTATTCGTGTGTCCTCGGCGTTCATATTTCAAACGTTTTCTGAGGACTGCTATTCTCTCTTCGTAAATCGTTTATATTTTAAAAGTGTGCTGAATCTTCGTAAAGCGTACATATTTAAGAGTTTGCTGAAGGTCTACTATCAATCTGTGTTTGCTGAACCTTTCAAAACGTCCATGTTTCAAAAGTTTTGGCGGCCGTTGTGCCACAAAGTAAATCTAGAGAGTTGTGCAGCTCAGCGGCGGTTGTGCCACAAAGTAAATCTACCGAGATGTGAAGCTCGGCGGCGCCGTTTCATCATGACTTATGATATTTTTGCCACCGGACAAACGAACATTTTAGGAGTTGGGTCTATGTTATTTATTCGGAGAAAAATGTAAACAGCCCACAGTAGGTCCATTCAAGTCACTGAAATCAACACACTTGACCAAATTACTACACTTATTGAGACGGGCCATTCGATATCACTAGCCTTCAAGGCTTTTTCATACTGTGATGCACAGTTTAAATAGAGGTTTCGCTGTAAGCAATCCTTACGTTTAAAATACGCCATGATCAAATTAAAGCCCGGTTTCCATATGATCGCTTATCGCTGTGATCGGTGCGATCGCTGAGAAAAAAAAAAAAACTTCAGCGATCACAGCGATCATATGAAACCATTCTCCAGCGATCGCAGCGACAACAATCGCTGAGATATAAAATGTTCTATCTCAGAGAGTGGTTTCCATATGATCGCTGAACTTTTTTTTTCTCAGCCGATCGCAGCTATCGTAGCGATCATATGGAAACCGGGCTTAATCTATCGCAATAACCATCCACTCTTCCTCCTCAACTGCTACCTGTACGCCTTACAAACAGATCGAACGCACTCTTCTAAGCTCTGATTACTCCTAGTATATTATATTACAAATGCGTATACAACATAACACATCATATGAAATTTCCACCTCTAAAAACATTTGACATTACGATTTAACACTAACTTATTATTTTCACATTAATATTCATGGTAAAAGAGAAAGCATTGCACTAAGTTTGCACAGAAACGGGGTTTAAGGGTTGAAACGTTTAACTCGCGTTCAATGGTCGTGATTATGCATTTTTCCAAGTACCATATTTGGAAACCCTCGCTGCCGGATTAACAGCAAACTTGCTCATGTATCATGCTTTTTTGTACATTTCTTTGCCGTCACTGCGAGACACTACGTGAAACTTCCTAATTTACCATTCTCTGGGAGGCAAAAACACAAGACAACGACTTTCTTTTTCTTTTTCTGAACTTTACTACAGTCTTTAGAATTCAATTCCGGAAAAATTTGCTAACATTCGACGAAAAGAACTAGATGGAATAAGCGCAATACAAGTTTTAAGCAGCGCGAATAGGCCACTTCCGAGTTCCAAAAACCCTCACTGTCAAAATGAAGCCAAGGGCACAACCTTTCTTGTGGAAATGAGTTTTATTTGCCTGAGAAAGAAAAATCCTTTCCATACCAAAGGCTGAGCACCTAGCCTCGTTTTGATACAGAGGCCCGGGGAACTCAGAAATGGCCTATTCACTTTTTCAGTGTCGTTTTCGTAGCCGTCAAATTTGATTGGTCAGATCGATCTTTTCTTCTCGGTTCCAAATATGGTACCTTGAAGATGAATATTCAAGAGCATCGGAGAAAAAAATATATATGCGAGTTACACGTTTCAACCCCTTTTGAGTTTCTAGTTTGCTCTAAATACTGAAGCTCAGGTATGTTGAGTACTACTAGGCCACCATTCCTCCCTTGCTTTCTCTCCTGTGTTGTATGTTTCGGTTTGTTTTGGCTTTGATTATTTTTTGTCGGTTTTACTTTTGCTCCATTGGACTGTAAATTGGCGGTGGGATTCAGCGACTTGTACTATGCAGGCTTTATTTTGTATGTAACATTTGTTTTACCCATATTCACGCAGATGATTGCACGACAGCAACAACAACCTCATCAACGCCTTGGAATATATTGGTGAGTTATGGTGGATTGTTCATAACTACAGATTTCTATTGAAAACACAAGCATGATAAAAATGTGACAAATTATTTCACCTCAAACTCGCGCAACCTGCAAGAGAACATATGAACTTGTAGCTTACAAGAAAAGGTTAATAGTGACATTAATGAGACATTTACCAGGGGGTAAATTCAGTTAATGGAGCTTGAAGCCCCAGGGGGGTAGACCGAGAAAGCCCGCCCCGTCTTAGGCTCGGTGATATCTTGAAAGCCTGATTCATTAAATGAAAGCACTCTATTCTTTAAGCAGAAAACAAAAGCTTTTCATGGCTAGAACCTCACTAATTTGGCGCATGTTTGTCATCGTGTATTTTCTTAGCTTCGCAAAGATTGGTCCCTTTTTTCAAAGCCCTATTCAGAGCTATTCATGGGTAGACCTTAATCATGATAAGTTGAGATAGTTTATAGTACAACTGTACCTATTGGCCGTACTTTGAGACACTGTCTGACTATAAAGCTTTGCCAATAAATGCCACTCCTAGTCATTATTTGGTTAGCTTGCACGAAGGCAATCATTTAAAGTAATTTTGTTACCCGCCCTCCCTCCCTTTGGACGAGTTGTTGTTATGTTATGTCTCAATAAATTTTGGTGGGTCACTCCTTGTGGTGCGGTTAAGTCTGCGTTGCGACTTCCCCCAAGCTTTTGGCATTGCTTGTGTCTTGCCATCTTTTGAGCTATTCCTTTGCCTTAATCTTGTCCGATCCAGCCCCTGCGGCGCTGGGGAGATAAGAAAGGCTCTGTCCTACCAAACGGTAGCGGGGCGATAAGTAAGGCTTGTATTATTTTGTGCGCATAACCCGAAGTCGCTATAACCTGCCACAGGGCTGTGCCCCCCCTTCCTTATTACGCCATCATGTAGTTGTTGTTTATTTAGCCTGCGTGCGTCATTTACTTGCGTGACGTTTGCATGCGTATCGTACAATCGGAATAGTGACATTAACAAAAAGTAGATAGATCAGGATGATTTTCTTCTGTGAAACTGGCCATGGCCTTTGAGAGTGATCTCCCGTTATTGAGGCAGTCCATTGAGAGCAAAAGTTAGTTTCCTTCAGGACAGAAGGGCCCCCAACAGCGCAGTGCTCGAAGAATTCCTAAGAAAACAACTGCGATAATTTCAGTTGATGTGTAACATGATAACTATAGAACCATAGAAAAGGAAGGAATAAAAGACAGTGAAATAAATCAATTAATTATGTCCGAATGTTGAAAGAGGCTGCTCGGTGCCAGTTAAGACAACAGAGTTATAAATCATGGTCGATCAGTTTTGCCAAAGAAGAGTTCTCAGTTCTATAAAGGATAGGGTGATAACAAGATTGTCTCTTTAAAGGAGCTGTGTCACGAAATTCAGCCAAATTAGGAAATTACAAAATGCCCGTTAACTAAGAGAAACCTAAAAAATAACCGCTTAAAACTTTAAAGGAAGGTTAAAATAACATAACAGAAACAATAGATGCCACGGATGGGCAAAACTGAAGAAGATTGAAACGGATTGAAATTAGGGTTTTTGAAAACTGTTCAGCCTAACAGTTTTTCAAAGTTGATCCCTGCTGCTTGCAACTTCAGGAGACATATTTGTTTGTCTCGGGTCTCTGTTTTGTCATTTACCTGTAATTTTTTTGCTGACTTTAAGTTCCATAGCGATTGAGGGCGAGTAATTGGCAAAATTAAACAAAATGAACTGGACTGCCGTGACACAGCCCCTATAATGAGGGGATTTTGTTTCTGGTATAAACCTCTGCATGTTAACGTCTTTCGGGGAATCAGGTAGCTCCGAGTGTTTGAGTCCGAAGTGAACGCAGTCAGCAAACGCTGTGCATGTGGCAATTTTCCTCCATTACCATGTGCTCGATACTTGTCAGCTATTGTCCAGTCCGTAATAGCGAGGTGTCCGCAAATAAAGGCGAAAGTTGACTGGGTCCACCCGAATCAAAATCAATAGTTATTCTGTAAATGTTGACGTGGGGAAATACTATGGAGCAAACTTGGCCAGTTCACAAAAATTTACACTTTCCTTTGCAGGTATCTCAGTACTCTTCATCGATTAGGGCTCTCAATGTTAGCAACAACGGTTCCTTACAGGTGAAGTCGTCTCTGCTGCAAATAACTAACTTCATTGATGCCTAAGTTGAATACGGCCTTCATCACTGACTTATTAATTTCGCATGTATTTATTCAGGGGCACCTAATGTCAATTTTCGGAAAATATCAGTTCGGAAGACGAATTGAGATCTAGAATTTTCGGTCAAAATTTGTTGTAAGATCTCTTGCTTGCCTGCCTCTTTTACTCTTTTAGGATTTCGAACATCTAAAAAATGGCATAAGCCCATTTTTAACGAATTTTTACCCTAAAAAGGTGACCTAGAACTTTCGAGAGTCTTTTTTCTGGCTAAAATTTTCGAAAAGGTAAGTTTTGATCCCTATAATTTTCGGATCACTAAACTTTCAGCTAGGAAATCCGAACAGATGAAAAATTTTGGGGGGATAAAAATATGCTTATATCTACCGTTTAAATACTAAAATACGTTTAACAAAGCTACGTTTAAGTGGTTTTGAACTATATTCTCGTTGGGTGCCCCTGTTTATTGATCATTTTTATTTTTGAAATGAAGCACTCAAGCATGGAAAACGTTTGGTCCGTCTTTTCAAGATGATTTCTTTCTGATCTGACATCGGAAGAGACCGGACCTTGCTTGGTCCTTTTAGCTGATAACATCAAGCCGGTCAAAGACAGCCAGTCAGATATTGATCGATATTTGACAAGGTTCAATGTAAACTTAATATATTCATGATAAAGAATAGATGGTCTTTCAGCGGCATATCTTCTCTAATCCATTTTACCTTTTTTTTTTCTTCTTCACAGGAAGCAATCAATGCAACCATAATTTTTTTAGACGGTTTAAAAAAACTACCGCCAGGTGGAAATGACATAAATATACTGGTAGCCACTCACGAACTCGAATCATTTGCAGTTAAATACGGCAAGACTCATCTCACAGCGAATGAAAGCGCAGTTATTGTGCAAAAATTGTTTGGTGAGTTTTATGCTCTGTTTGATGAGTCAGGTTTTTTTTATTTTTATTTTCAATTGAATATTTATAAATTTACATCCAGCTTCATATTCAAGATCACATTAATTTACGCTAGATGCTGACGCTCACAAGGAAAAATGAACACAAGTGGTTAGTATGGCCGTAATTAATAATGGTATATTAACCGGTTAGCTTTTTACAGGAGTGGCCTATACCAGGAGCTAGGTTAAGGGGGGAGGGGGAGGGCTGAGTGATCACACCTGGAATTAACTAGGCCATTTTAAAAATAGAAATCTATGCAAAAGCTATGCAAACAAATCTTTTTTTTAGTAAACTATCCCGGGTATTGAATTTTTCTATACGAACAGACATAGGACAGACAGGCTTTTCTACATGAAATTTTCCAAAACCAGCCATTACAAATTGTGCTATACAAAAACTAAAACCTCTTGTTGTTGAATTAATATAAGAAAATGGCGAACCTGGAAGTGAAAGGGGTGTACCGGCGGGTGTACGTTACGTCTTAATGGGCCGACCGTTTGACTTTTTAGGGGGGGTATGGGTGATTTCAGGAAAAAATATCCTGCAGACTGATTTCGAGGAAAAAATAATTCTTGGAAGGAAATACCTGGCGGAAAAAGTTTTCGCACTAAAGAGAAATATTTTTCATGGCTTGTAATGTTGGGAAAAAATCTTACATCGTCAAGTTGTTAATGTCAGGAAAAAAATTATATCCCCAGAGGTTTGGGGAAAAAAAAGTCTTACCCAAACCAAATCACCTATCCCCCCGTCAAAGTCAAATGCTCGGCCCCTGACTAAATTTTCTTCTCGCATCGATGGGTTACCAATTTCTATAGGTATGGGGCTCCGCTATAAAAATTTGCTTGCTATAACGAGTTTACAGAGAAAAGTCACTAAAATTGTATGACATCTTACGAATATTGTGATAACTGACATATTTCATTGGTAAGACTTTACAGTCAGATAGTTATTGGTTATTGGTTTTGTAGAAATGAAGATTCAGAGGGTTTTGGGAAACAATACGGAACCGATTACTTGCCCTAAAAGCAATGGAACAGAGAGCATTGTCATTCCTTCGGAAAACTTCAAAGCGCAAGGTAAAGGCAGTGTCACTAGCTGCTCAATTATGAGATAATCATGAGTACTTGCACTGTAGCGACCATTATTTTATAAGTCCTACCAGTTTTTCAAACATTGCACTAAGCACGACCACTTCAGAGCACTTTGGCACCGGCAAGATTGTTTGGAATTAGTTAAGATTGAGTTAAGAATTCAAATAGCCTATATTATGCTAACTCAAGAAAGGAGAAATAAAAGGCCAGAGACCTTAATGTTAAATAGACCTATTCGGCTAACTCAATGTTGTACCCAATTCAAATCTCCCGGGGATAAGATTCTTTGTGTATTGCATTTGCATTATAATGTGGCATTCACATTTAAATGATATGGAAATTCCTGAAACAAAACGTTTTATTCCCAAAGGGTTTGAATTGGGTACAACATTGAGTTAGCCGACTAAACATTTCACTTTTTTGCCTAATCACTATAATTTTATCTCAGACACTGTCACCGTATGCATGCTCTACCATGGTGAGGTCAGGAAGTGGATACCCGGTGAAGAAAGAGTTAATGGATTAAACGGGTTAGGCATATAGGCCTTTTCATCTCTCACATATAAATAAAACAAATACAAAACGATCGAATGTCAAAACGATTTTGCTCAAACTCTGTGCTTTGCGTAAGTGTCACGTGACAGATAGTCAAAACACACGTGATCAGATTACGAGTGACAGAAGGTCCAAACTCTCGCGACAAAATTGCGTTCTATGCATTCCATTCATTTTTAGTGGAAGTCCAAACAAAGACTGGCTAGATACGTGCGACGCATGCATAATAACAACCTGGAGATTAGGATTGCGGGCTTCCCTTGTCGCCCGCAATTAATTCCTCGCCTCGCTTAGCGAAGGTTTGTAATTAAGTATTATAATTAAATTTGCATAACGCGTGGATCGCACAGCGAGACAGAAACACGAGTCGGCTTTGTATATACAGCTGTTTCGAGAATGTGGGAAAAAGTGAACGCGACAAACCCGAAAGGTATTGTGGGTGGTTTGGGGTTCACCGTTTTTCAAAGAAATTTGAAAGAAAGGCACGAGAGGCCGTGGTCGTATAGTTGCGAGTGCTAAAGGAAAGCAAGAAAAGTAGGGTCGACATCGACAGTGCCAGGAAAAGTGTATTGATCATATCCCATAATACCTTTCGGGATTGCCGGGTACAAATTATTTCTAACAACCTTTTTCGAAATAGCTGTATATGGGGTTTTCGAGTCAGTGACCTCGACGATTGTGACGTCAAGGTACATTTTCAGGTTTCCAAGCAACACGATTTCCACTGGGTGCACTATCATGTTTTATTCGTGAAAGGCTAACGTGTCTATTCATCCTTTTTGAAAAATTATTTACTTTGTTTTTTCGATTCTCCTCATGCGTATGGCAGGGAACTGTAAACTGTACAGCGACCGTCAACAAGGGACTTTGGGACGGTTTGCGAGACACCTATCGGCTTTGTCGAAACACTGCTTATTTTCCTCAAATATACCTTTGAGTTATTGATTACTACAACTCCACCACTACAAACAGCGTCTACCAGACGAATTTCACGGGAAAATGCTTTAAATACTGACAATAGTTTGACCTGCCCAATTGAAATTTGACGATGTGGCGTATTATGAAACGACTTTTCATGCAGGTGGACACGGTTCAACTGTCCTTCAAGGCATTGTTTTTTGTTTTGTTCTGTTTTGTTTTGTTTCTTTTTTTTTCATTCATTTTCTCCCCTTTTTGGCCGTTTTGTTTTTACTTTTTTCACCGTGTCTTTACGGCTTTGCGAGATGTTGTGATAAACGTATTTCTAGTTTAACGCTAAAAAGGACAAATTTGTTAAGGTTTGAGAGACTCCAAAGAAGAATAAATACAACATTTTGCTCCAATTCCGTACAAAGCAATCACTCAGGAAACGAAAGTCTAATAAACGGTTGTGTTATAGGTTGTTTACCATTTTCTATGGGCAAACCGGTCGCTCCACGGTTGTACATTTCGCCCCGAAATCGCATTTACCATTTGTACGAGTCAGTTCCATTTATCGGAAAACGACCGCAAAGGCCTGAAACTCGCATCAAAGATGGTTTGAAGAAATGGAACATGGGGCAACTTTATTTTCAAGATCTGCCAATATATAATAAACTAAATATCTCTTCAGCAAAGGTTTGAAATATTCCGTCCGAAAAACAGGACTTCCTTTTCAGATGTTCCGTTGCTTCTGGAAATTTTCCGCTGCAACGAGGACCCAAAAAGTCGTCTTCTATTTACTTTTCAACAGAATTTTCCGGAATCTTTTGTAAATGGTAAACAACGATAATGTACTTTCCAGGGTGGGTAGATAATTTGTTAACGAAGAAAATTTTAAGGGGACGTATGTGGCCAATTTTTTCAGAAGCTGCTATTAAAAGTCTTTGCACTGAAATTTTGCAGAGAGATTTCTAGGACACTGTAATCATAAATTCTCTTTTCAATTTTTTTTCTACAGTAAAACTATCATGAACTTCACGCTAAGTAATATAATAGGCAGCACATTAGATCCCAGGCCCCAGGTCATCCTCCAGCAAAACCTGTCAGTCATATTACGTTACGATAAGGTATGTTCTTTAGCTAGTAAGTTAATTCATAACTGTGATTAAAATCTACTTATAGAAAATGAGTAGGCTAACTTCTCTAGCCGAGAAGGGATTGATTGATAACTGCTTACACTGTTTTAGGATATTCTTGTTTTTTCTTCGTAATCTGAATGGCTTAAAACTTGCGGACTGCTCACCACGATGTAGACTGCGAGCTGGCTCTTATTTTTCTTCTGAGACAGAGTAGGTCGAGAGCATGGGTTAGGGGCGAGCACCAAAGCCGCGAGGAACAAGGGCAGTCCTTTTTACCATTAATTTGCATACTTTCAATTTTTCTCTCGCCGGGCATGGCAATGAGGTAAGAACCTGACGACCGCTCGTGGTCTAGCCACGATGTAACCCCTTAATAAGGCGTTGTAAAATTATGCACTTTCTTTCTTTTGTGTTTCGTTTGTCGCTTTTACTTAGTACCAGGTATAAAAATATTTACGACGCAGACGAGTCATTCACCTTTCTTTGATTTTTGCTAGTTTTATCTTACCTGAAACTTTAAATGTCTTTTAAAAGGGATTAGAGGCACATTGTGTCTTCTGGGATTTTACTGCCAAGTAAGTGTGACAAAATTTTTTCAACACGCACTTATTAAGGACTTAACTACATCAGGGGTTCTTCGAACTGATGAGTTGATTTATAGCGGGGCTCCCTCGCGCGCGAAGCGCGCGTGGGACAGAGCCCCATACTCATGGAATATGGTCAACCTCTTTTCTTTTGGTTGTCACGTGACTGACCGAGCGTACGTACGTACGTACGTACGCGTCTACAGATTGTACGGGTAGGGTAGGGGAGACTATCAAAAGGAAGGGAGGGGTGTCTCAGGCGTGTCTTAGCAAATCCACATCTTTTACATTGGCCATTCACGATATGGTCAATTGACAGCTGTCAAAACAAGATAGCCACTGACCAGTATCACATTGCCATATCGGGGGCTCATGTGTCAACTCATCAAGGTGACGTGAGTTATTTGGAAGCTGCCGCTGACCAGTTGTTTTACTAGATCGCGATCAATGTTCAATCTCGTACTTTCTAGCTAGTTTGAGAGCACACGAAAACTGATAATGCACACATCCATTAGACATCAATGTTTTGATCAATTGACAGCTGTCAAAACAGGGTATCCGCTGACCAGTATCACTTGACGGTATCGCGGGCTCAGGTGTTAACCCATCAAGGTCAAGTATTTTTTGAAGTTATCCGCTGACAAGTTACTAGTTTTCAAATGATCGCAGGCTCAAGTTTGATTTTTTTTCATTCATATGAAATATGTTTTGTTTTTGGGCCGCACAATTAAAATTTTGATTTAAAACTGACCTCGGACCCGAAAATTCAGCCAGCTATTACAAGCAAGACAGTTGCTTTTGACTTTGCTCACCATGGTCACGCGTTGGTCTCGCTCTACATCCATTTTTAAAGCTCTGATTGGTCAAAATTTGACAGGTGAGCTCATGCGGAAAATTTACGCAGCATTTTGAATCTTGTTTACTTTGACAGCTGAAGCTGAGAGAGTTTTGTGTCAACTTGTGATGTTTTTAACTGTCTTTTTCCACTGGATGCACAAAATGAAATTTAGCTGCTATCAGGAGCCTTCTGTTATTCATGGCTAGTTGGTTTTTGGTTGAGAAATTAATACATCACTTGTCAAAGTTGGGAATCCGATTTCGGGTGTCAACGTTTTTGTTTTTCACCTTGCTTGATGCGCGTAGAGGCTGAAAACTCTGAAGCGATACTGGCCTTCCTTGATACCTTTCAGGAGCTGCGTCTCGAATGGTAAGCCCCAGTAATTATTGTGTTTGATGTTTGTTTTTTATATCTAATTTAAAGAAGTCGAGCGTAGTTTATGCGGCTATGTAGTTTATGCACGTTTCTAAGATTTGAGACAATTTGATCTGACCACGAATCAGGTAAACTTGATATATAAAGCTTACACAACTTTAAAAAGTCTTTAGACATTTTCTCACCGCAGATAGAAAGAAAACGTTCCATAGAACATTTAGTTATAATTCTGGCAGTAAAAGAAAGCTTTGAGCGATTTTCTTGCCTCGAGTTCATCTGTGTAAAAAAGTAAATACCGGGAAGCCGGCTTAAAACATAAACTTACGCTTTAAGCTTGAAGACTCAGGATTTTTAGAGACACTTTAATATTTGTCTTCGTGAATGAAAAATGTTGTCTCTGTATATGTTTCGCCGAATTATATTTCCTTTATTGATTGCTGGTAGTCTCTCTTGTAATTTTAATCGCTGTGCCGTTTGTTTTCAGTCGTTCAGTGAACATCGCTTGCAGGAGTACTCAAAATGCCGCGCGTATCAAACGCTTTTAAAGATTACAGATCGATAAAACCATTAAATAAGAAATAAACATAATAATTTCTTTATTGTGTTGGAGCTTAACTCTAGTATGTTCGTTCAAACATTCGCTACAGCTCGCACTGCAAAAGTGAGAACCGGCTGGCTGTATACGTGATTTTGGACATTTTTTTAACGGTTTAGCTAAAAGCCCACGCGTGCTTCGATCGTCCTGAATATTGAATGAGTGCAATTTCTCTTGCAAAACTGTGAAATACTGCATTCTGTCCGAGGTCTGTATGAAAACAATACCTCATAGTACTGCTTCACCTCAGATGTGATGTATAAATGGTATAAAAGGCTGGTTTACACCCACCCAGATTTGTTGGCAAGATTTTGTAAAGCAAACTTGTCCAAAGCAAAAAACTCGGACTGATTTTTTTCCGGGCCTAATTAATCTACGGTGATCAAGAGCCATTATGGCTCTTAAATGTGATCGAAGATGATTGCTATTTTTTGGGTGTACATATGAGGCTATCAACTCGATGTAAGATTTGGTTCACTCTTGGGCTGTTTGCAAATTATTTTTCTCTAAAATCACTTAGCCTTTCCCTCAAAAGTCACATGAATGTGCTATGTGCTCTAAAGTTAACTGAATTGTGGAATACAAGTTTATTGTTTGATTTAAATTATAAATATATAATGGGAGCCTCGCTTTTAGCCCTGGCTAAATCTATATTAGTTATTGTAGATAATAATTAGACAATGCTATACAGAAAATATCTCGCAGGCTACCGACTTTAATGCCATTAGGGTTGATAAACTACTGTCCTTTGATTGGCCTTTCCCTTAAAGCAGTCATACAACTACGAAACTATATTTCAGATCAAATGTTAACGGTTATTGGTCAAGCAAAGGATGTTCAGTGGTCAATAGAACCAAAACGGAAATCACATGCACCTGTAACCACCTCACAAACTTTGCTGTTCTTATGCACGTTGGAGTAGACAATGAGGTTAGTTGGGGCAGCTTTGGCTTGTTTTCCGCATGTCTCAATACAATAACTTAACCCGCGGGTAAGAACCGAGATTTTAAGAACCTTTTAGGCTAAAATTTGTTTGTTAGTGCACCTCTACAGAAGCACCTTTAGGACTGTATCGCAGCGGAGTTTCCAGAGGGGTAGATGTGAAAATATAGATATCCTCCATAAATTTCAAAAATTTCAATCTATAGTTGAGCTACAAACTGTTATTTAAACGATATTATTGCATAAGAGTTTAACTGTTGGAGCTGAGACAAGCATTACAATACATGTAAAAGTACCTTAAAATTCATGTTCTTACTGCTTTAGTTTTTCTTCTTAAATTGATTTTTACATAAATTTTAATTTGATATTCAGATTTGATATAAAGAATAAACTGAATGCCTCTAAATATTCAGAGTATTTTTTCTTTAGAAAATAAGAACTTATTTAAGAACCTAGTATAGATAGACTAAATTTGTGCTAATTACCATTTATGTAAGAACCTGTTTGGGCTAAATTGGGAAAATAAAGGTTCTTACTCGCGGGTTTTTACTGTACTATGAATGTTAAAGAAAACTAAGGATAGCATCTACAATCGTGGCGCCATGAACCCTTTTTTCACAGTGTCATTTATAGTTTTAGTGACTCGAGTAATAAGGAGGCTATGCCTATTTTCGCCATTGAGAGTACTACTTTGCAAAATAATAAGGGGCCCTGACTCTTGCCAATATTTGTCTTTATTGATTTGGCGTATTTGCAAACAGTTTTTCCAAACTATCTTTCCATCAGGTTCCAGCAGATCATAAGGTGGCATTGAAAGTCATTACTTACGTTGGGTGTGCTCTGTCGCTTGTTGGAGAGGCACTCACCGCTGTTGCATTTTTCGTCCTCTTGTGAGTTACAAATAATATACCATTATAAAAGAGCTCGGACATTTAGATTTGGTTTTTGTGATATGCAGAATAATCAAGGTCGAGGTAAGTGCTTTTAATTCACGCATCTTGGTTTCAAGCGCACCGAGCATAACACGGCTGGGGAAGAGTCAAACCAAGATTGTCGCCTGCAACAAACAGTAAGCGCTCGAACGGACTAGACGTTCAACAGAAAAACATGGTCCACCAAGCGTTTTAAACAGATTTTTCAGCACCAAATGTTTAACCATAGCATACAAAGACGTGCTTTGTTTCTAAACTATTTGCATTGAATCTCAATACTTAGTAAATGCAAAATTATGACAATAACAAAACCACAAGGGAGGGGAACGGGGAGTCAGCCGCCCTCTTCACAACCCCTCGTAGCGCAGTTAGGCTCTGGATTAGCTTGTCAGACGTTCATTTATGATTTTTAAATTAAGAAGCACCTTAACATGGGATTTTCCCGCTTTGAAAAAAATAACATGTCAACGGTGTTCAATTATTTTTTTTTCCTCTTTCAGGGATTTGAAAGAAAACCAAACTCAAATCCGCTTTAACCTTGTGGTCGCCATAGCGATAGCACAAATTACGTTTCTTGCTGGAATTGATGCCACAGAAGTTATGGTAAGCTTAAGATGTTAGTTAATCTGAAAGATAAAGAAATAATGAGCATTTTGTTGGCTTGGATGATAAACTGATTGCCAAAACACTGTAAAAACAAAAATCAGAAATGAAAGACCGTTGGATGAAAACGAGTTGAGTCTTTAATAAGTAAATTTCATTAGATTGCATATTCCCGTTACCTCGATTTTACGCAAATGTGCTAAAGGGACAGGGTGGCAAAGAGTAGGGGGAGGGGAGGGGAATACCTATGACGAATTACAGAGTAATGAAATAAAATATTAACTACATTAACAAGTATCAGGACTGGCTATCCTATTGTTATGTGATCTGAGGAAATCAGTGGTCGCGGAACGAGAAAAAAGTGCAAGAAGTTAGTGTCATAACTATATATTTGTTATGTCTCTCAGTCTTCTTCTTGTTTCAAATGATATCAACCATCGCAGAAATTTCAAAGGAAAATCACACGTCACGCGTTGTAAAAATAGTAAATCACGCATCACGCTTCTAGGCCAAATCGCGCCTTACGCGGTTAATTTAATTGACCACTCCAGAAAATACCATAACATACCATAATGCTCTCTGTTTGTCACCCCAAAATTTTGCATGAGCATTGTTTTCAGTTTCTCTTGGGGCCATTTTAACTCCCCAGAGAAACTGAAAACAATGATTACGCAAAATTTTGGGGTGACAAACAAAGAGCATTATGGTATGTTACAGTATTTCTGGAGTGGTCAAATGGGTTCGATCACGCGTCACGGAAAACCCCTTTGCCACCCTGAAAGGATAATTTGGGAGGAATGGAGTCTGATTGCACTGACGTTTAGCGATGGTTCAACTCCTGTATAATATTTCGCAAACATGGCAGTCAAGTTTATTCTGTCACTTTTTAAGGAAATAAAAATTGTCCTTGATAGATTTTTTCGGCTGCTATGATTAGTATAGGAAACAGGTATACACTAGGTATGGGTCTAAGGTTACATAGGATCAAGTGAAGTGTTACTGGCAGACACATGACAGTGCCTAAAACTTGTGGCTCAGTGGTCGATTGCTCTTTAGTTCTCTTCAGTATCTTTGGCTTGTTTGCATTACATCAAGAGTTTTTTTTCTTTTTCCTTTTCTTTTTTTTGTAGGGTGGGGGAGCGGGTGGTAAAAAACGTGCCGTTATGGGCAATTTGATGACGGTGAATCCCGTTTCTTATAGGAATTGTGTCTGTTTGTAGCAGCCATGATTCATTACTTCTATCTGGTGGGATTTGCTTGGATGTTATTTGAGGGTGTTTATCTGTATCTGATGGTTGTCAAAGTGTTCAATACGGTCATCAGATTGCGTTTATTTTATGGAGTGGCTTGGGGTAAGTATTAAAGCAACAACCTACTACAGAAAATGGCCCGTTGGTAGATCTAGTCAAGAGGTCGTGACTTGTAAGTCCCTTCCGGGATCAAAAGCATTTCGTGAATTGACCACTCAAAAAATGCCATAACATACCATAATGCTCTATGTTTGTCACCCCAAAATTTTGCATAAGCATTGTTTTCAGTTCCTCTTGGGGCCATTTTAACTCCCAAGAGAAACTGAAGACAATTCTTATGCAAAATTTTGGGGCAACAAATAAAAGAGCATTATGGTATGTTATGGTATTTTCTGGAGTGGTCTATTGATTGCTGGTTTATCTAGTTACTTTCCTTACGTATTTACAAGGACTTGCAATTGAGACTTGCTATTCAGAGGAATTTGTACAGTTTCTCACATCTCAACACCACACTTCTCATAAGAGTGCTACACTGAGGTAGCTGACGTAACCCAACTGAGCCTAACTTTTCATTTTTCACTTTTTCGTTTTCAATCAAACCTTAGGCGTCTCCCTTTTGATTGTGGTTTTATCGATCGTGATTGCTTCCATTCAAGATGGCGGGATAGAAAGCTATGTTCATGATCATTTGTAAGTAACCAAACCAGATCTTAATACTACAGAACAAAACGGAGCAAGAAAAACTTGGAGGTTTCAAGAATCTGTTTATTTTTTAATTACCATTTTTTATTTATTTATTTATTTATTTATTGCAAAGTTACTTATGAAATTGATTGATGAACAGGTTATTAAATCATCACCAGACTTGAAGTTACTGTGAGTAACATTAGATGATGAACTTAGTTTTAGTACTCATATAAGTGATATATGCAAAATGGCAAGTAAGAAAGTTGATGTTCTAGTACGTCTTAGAAATATGATTCCGAGAGAAGCCAAGTTACAATTGTACAAATCGGCAATTTTACCTAACTTAACATATTGTCACATAGTGTAGCATTTTTGCAAAGCATCTGAAGCAAGAAAATTAAAAAGAGTACAACAACAGGCATTACGTGCTGTATATAATGATAGGAATGTTCCGTATGAGGAACTCCTAGAGAAGGGAAGACTCTCTAGTCTTGAGAACAGACGGTTACAAGATATACTAATTTTAATGTATAAGGTTAAAAATTCACTAGCTCCAGAGCATGTATATGTAATACGTTTTTTCAGCAAGATAAGCATTATAACTTACGAAGAGATTTTCCTGTTCCGAGATATAATACTGTTAAGTATGGCAAGCACAGTATCAGATTTTTAGGCCCACACATATGGGGCAAGATAAGCCAGGAACTACGCAGTAAGACCAGTCTTCAGGCATTCAGGAGAGGGATGCGTGCTCTCAATGTGCTTGGCTTGCTGGACGGTACATGTGGCTGCTGCGCATGCTCATCTTAGGGTGGTGGGTATGCATATTGGCTTCTGCTGTCTGGCTGCCCTGGTGTATTGAGAGTGTGCTCCCCTATCCTCTATTTAATTCGTCTAATTTAAATTGTCTAGACTTTTAACTTTCTGAATTTTGTATTTATGTTTGACTGCTGCTTATATGTTTGTCCTATATTGTCTGTTTGTTTGTCTGTCTATCTGATTGTCTGTTTTGTCTATCTATTTGTTTGTCTTTGTTTGTTCCTTTTCCTACTGTTTGTCTGTAATAATTTTATATATTGATGTTATTTTTATATATTAATGATATTTTAAGAATATATTTTTAATATTTTTACGTATACTTGATTTAATCTTATATTATATTCTTTTTGTTTATTTATAGTGTCCACAATTAGCTTTTTAGCTAAATACCTTGACACTTTAATAAAGTTTATGTATGTATGTATGTAATTTGCCCAAACTGCCTTTTTCAGAGGAATTATTATGAGCACGTTCATGTTACAGGCCTAAACAATTGGTTTTCAAACAATTGAAAATTTTTAAATAAGTCTTCGTAAGCTTTTTCTTCAATATTTCCAATTTTAACCGTTAAGTTTTATCAAGCAATCCTTTCTTAGAAACACCTTGATTTTCTTTATTTTTTTCAGTTGCTGGGTTTCCTTCAAAAATAACCTTATCTGGACGTTTGTTGCGCCTGTTCTCTTAGTTTGCACGGTAAGTAAGAAAGTGAAAATGTCCCATAAGTGAATAAGTTTGTTAAGAGAACAAGTTAAAAAATGATTGCTTACAGAATATTGAGGCTCATCGGTAACTGATTAAAAATTGATATAATCATCAAATATTTGCCATGAAAATGTAAGACGTGAAACTGAAATTAATAACGGTTCATGTAGAAAAAAGAAAACCAGAATATTTAGCTTCCTTTCATATCATAGTCTTGGTGGATTACAGTAAGCCCATAAATGAACTGATAGCGGCTACCAGTGCCGCCCTTGCATGCTGACGTCAGAGCTTACTGTTAACATGTAAATATATACTGTATTGTCCTCTTATCCACGGCATTTCATTTATTCATTCATTTGCGGGTAATAAACACATCTGGGATTTAGCGCTGCGGTGGAGGGGAGGCTGTGACGTCATACTTGGTGTGATATGCTTGAGATGTTTCATACGTCCGAGCTTTGATCGATTATTTATCGATTATATTTTATGTTTTCATTTATCTATTTATTTATTTATTTATTGTAGTTATATTTTCAAGACCTGAGAGAAAGAAAGAAACAGGGTCCAAGGTTTCTGCCATTAAAAGATATCTTATTCTCATGCATTGTTTCCACGCAGATAAACTCAGTTTTACTTGCTCGAGTGGTTCATGAGATCCTAAGAATGCAAGCCGACAAAACACCTCATCTGGAAAGAGTTCGACAAGGAGTTAAAGCATGCGTAGTTTTGTTTCCTCTTCTGGGACTGACCTGGGTGTTTGGTGTCCTAAGTGTCACAGATGCTGGACTCGTATTTCAGTACATCTTTACCATCTTCAACTCTTTGCAGGTATAGTACTAGAAAATCCAACATGTTAACTTTTTGAGTAGTTTGAGGAAACAGTCGACATTTCGCAAGGGGCACTCAAAGAGAATATAGTTCAAAACCACTTAAACATAGCATTGTTAAACGTATTTAGTATTTAGACGGTAGATATAGGCATATTTTTATCCCCTAAAAATTTTTCATCTGTTCGGCTTTCCTAGCTGAAAGTCTAGTGATCCGAAAACTATAGGGATAAAAACTTACCTTTTCAAAAATTTCAGCAAGAAAAAAGGCTCCCGAAAATTTTAGGTGACCTTTTTAGGGTAAAAATCCGTTAAAAATGGGCAATTATACCATTTTTTAGATGTTCGAAAATCCTAGGAGAGGCAGGCAAGCAAGAAATTTTACAAAAAATGTTCCGAAAATTCTAGATCTCAAATCGTCTTCCGAACAGATATTTTTTGAAAATTGGCGTTGGGTGCCCTGATTTCGCGACGCCACCACTGGTTTCCCCAAGAAATGACGTTTGGCGAAGAACGTCCATACTGATGACGTGTCAGAAACCCACATCTGGGAAGTGCTTCTAATTGGATGAAGCAGATTTTAACCAATCAGAAGCACTACCCAGATCCAGGTGGTGACGAGTGATCAGTATGGAATTGCTCCGCTAGTTTATCCAACGTCATTACGTAGCGAAACCAGTGGTGGTGTCGCACAATGTCAGCTGTTTTCTCAGGCTAACTGACAGCGAGCAAATATTATTTTATCAAATCTTAACTTGGTTGCTAAAAAAGCCGTTTTAATTCACTCATTCGTTCATTTATTTATTTATATATTTTGCCACACAAGCATTCGAAGTTTACTCCAGACTTTGACAGTAGTGTCAAGGAATGTAGCGATCGAGAAAATTAACATGACAGAACATAGAATAGTAGAGATGGTGGGCGATACCTGATACCATGTACTGCGATTAACCATTGGATAAATAAATTTTGTCTTCATTTCTTCTTTTCTCTCACCCTTATGAAGAAACTTAACTTTCTTTTTATTTATCGATACACACATTTTTAGGGTTTGTTCATCTTCATACTTCACGTTTTGAGAAACAGCGACGTACGTGCAGCATACTCTAGAAAAATGCAGAAGAGGAATGCGGCAAAAAGCGTGAAAAACTCTCGAGAAAACCGCAATACAATCGGATTGTGGTCAAGCAAAGTGACGAATGAACCAAGCTGTACAAAAGAACCTAGCGGTGCCTCTCTAAGATCATCGGTTGGAGTAAAAAGCAAGATTGACAATACCCTGCACGAGGAAAGAACCATGACTCCCGTTAACACGTGACTGTCACGTAGGCTGCACGCGAATTTGTTTTAGCGGCCACTGTTAGAAAATAGAGTATTGGCAAGTTTTCATTATACGTTTAATTCTTATAGGAGAGAGCATAAAAATCCTACAAAGAAACATTACTTCTGTTGACACGTGACTGTCACGTAGACTGCACGTGAATTTGTTTTAGTAGCCACTGTTAGAAAATAGAGTATTGGCAAGTTTTCATTATACGTTTAATTCTTATAGGAAAGAGCATAAAAATTCTACAAAGAAACATTACTTCTGTTGACACGTGACTGTCACGTAGAATGCATGTGAATTTGTTTTAATAGCCACTGTTAGAAAACAGAGTGTTGGCAAGTTTTCATTATACGTTTAATTCTTATAGGAGAGAGCATAAAAATCCTACAAAGAAACATTACTTCTGTTGACACGTGACTGTCACGTAGACTGCATGTGAATTTGTTTTAGTAGCCACTGTTAGAAAATAGAGTATTGGCAAGTTTTCATTATACGTTTAATTCTTATAGGAAAGAGCATAAAAATCCTACAAAGAAACATTACTTCTGTTGACACGTGACTGTCACGTAGACTGCACGTGAATTTGTTTTAGTAGCCACTGTTAGAAAATAGAGTATTGGCAACTTTTAATTATACGTTTAATTCTTATAGGAAAGAACATAAAAATCCTACAAAGAAATATTGCTTCTGTTGACACGTGACTGCATGTCAGTAAGCCATTTCCCGGCGAGTAAAATAAATAAAACTCATTTTCACAAGAAAGGTTGTGCACCAAGCTCATTTTGAAAGTGAGGGTTTTTGGAACTCGGAAGTGGCCTATTTGGAGGAAAAATTTGAACAGAGGAGAGGGAGGGAGTGAAACTTATACCCCAGAGATATTTGACTACGGCAGTGGTTTTACTGAATGAGAGCAGATTTTTCTGTAGCCTGTTCCAGGCGTTCAGTGTAGAGAGAGTTAAATTGTAGACGGTTAGAGATAAAGGAACACGAGAGGAAATCAAAGAAAGACTATCGTCAACTCCTGGGAACGATGTTTAGAAAATAATCAAATGATAGTTATCAACTCTGGTTTTCCCACAGTAAATTGTGGGAAATGATAGAAATTCGGATTGTTTATCCATATGTTTAATATACTATCTTTTCTTCGGAAACACGATACTTTTCCTGCTGTTTATTGCACTCTATTAAATAATAGTTGTTAAGGCATATATTTATAGAAAAACAACAAAACAAATAAGCAAACAAAACAAAACAGAAACGGAAAAAAAGAAAAGCATTGAGTACGAGTCGACCCGGCACCTTCAGCTTGACGAGACACATAAATTTGGCGAAAAGTCTTTCATTTAATGCCTTTTCCATGGAGATTCCGCCGTTTGAAGATGATTGAGCAGCATTAACGGAGAAGAAAAATGTCAACGCATTCCATGGCGGTGAATTAATGAAAGAACATAATTACGCTTTACAAAAAGCCGATAAACCTCGTCTGCGAAGTAGCACGCAAAACATATGTTCTGTTATCTCGTTTCACCTGTAGTTTTGGAGCTAATGATCAAAATCACATCCATTTTCGTCTCATACAGGTTCTTAAGAATGGCACGGCATTACATTTTGTCACTTTCAGATCACTTTCCAGCAAGCTGGAATTCATTATATATCCCCTATGATCTTGTGGTGGAGTCGAAGAGCAAATGCTCTTCTTCTCTTGTCAAGTTAAACGCCTGGACGAGTCAAAGGCTCTTAAAATCCAATCCCCAAGTACTCATCTGAAAGACTCTTCCATGTCTTAAATTTGGTAAGACCTCTAACCGCACTGTAGAAAATTTGCCACAAAGAAAACTCTGATTCTGAGCATCGAACGATGCGCGCTCTCGGCAAAGATTTTGCTACCATCGAACTTCGGCGAGCGCCTGGTTCTTCTGAAACGATAGCTCTTCGCACTCTCGAGTTCGGACCCGATTAATTACGAAGTCCGTCTACTACGAGTGAGCGAGTGACTCATTTGCATATCCCTGTCCCTGCAATAACTCTTGGTACGCTCGCGCGTCCCCACGAGTTAAAAAACGAGAGGAGACTAGGGAGCGCGCAATCAACTAATTTTTTGTCCGCGCTCTAGTATCTGAATGCCTTGAACGGGCTAATTTTTCTTTTGAGTGTCTCAGAATATTTTGGTAGCTAGTTGTAGTTTGCGCAACGCTTAAAAACACTGATAACTGACAAAAAATAAAAAATACATATTAAAAAACTATGCTTTCGTCATATCACAGGACGAAATTTCAAGAATCCGTAAATGGAAACTTAACGTAAACACGTAAAACCGTTGCGGAAACATGACGGTAATCACACGTTTCCGTTAGCGGATACATTACGTTTACCCGTGTTTCCGTCGCTGCGGTTCCGGCGGAATCGTACCACTTTTTTCTACGTTTCCGTCAAATTTCCGTCTAAGCAAACACGTGTTTCCGCAAGAGTAAATGCGTGGCATCCTTGCGGAAACACGCGAAAACGTTCCGGAAACAAGTCAATTTCATGTTTCCGTCAACGTAATCGGATGTAACTATTGCGGAAACACGAGTTTACGAGTCGGAAACTGGTGTTTTCAAGTTATTTCCATCGTGAAAAAAGTGCTTTTCACCATCTTGGGGGAGTTTTCCCGCCATCTATAGTTACAAAAACCCATTCTCTCGACATTTTTATTGCACAAAATAATACCACAGCAATCTTTCCAAGTACTTTCTTTATTCTTCTTGCTTCCTAAACTGACAATCAGGTCTTCTTATGGTATTTACTCATTACATTGGTTAAGTTAAATTACATTTTAAATGTGAGTGCCTATTCACACTAGCAATGAACAGGAATAGTAAGAGGCTTCCTTTAGGAAATCCACTAGAAATTTTCTGTAGGACTACGTACTGTTTTTTTGGCAAAGAAAATGTCAAATCTGTTAACAAATTAATACCCTTTATAGCAGATAGTGATAAACACTTTCATGTGCAGTTTATGGCTAGTGATATGTTTGGCTGTCTATAATAATTATTTCAACAAAGTGGAATATGATTTGTCGGGTGAATGTACATTGTAGTCCTGAGCAGGACTGTTGTTGACAGCAACTAACGTTTAGACAACAAGGTGATCACCATTTTCATGGGCATTGTCAAAACATCAGTTCCTGTCAACAGTCCCACTAAGTGCTATACTAACCTGTATGACCATATACCACTTACTCATACGACCATTCTGCTTCAGGATAATTTTATAATTATGGTGTCAGGAAATATTCTTACTCTTCTAACATGGTGGTCTAAACTACACAATTTTCTATGACCACTGCAAAGATTGAAATGCAAAAAAATACATCAACAAACAAAGTATGGCTACAGTTTTACATAATACAAGTCTGCTAAAACGGTTTATGTGTTTCATTTGTACGTTTTAGGTCACTTCTATGCTGAAGTCATTACTTAGGGCGCTTTCCATTTGTCAAAACTGACCGGCCAGAACATTCCAGTAGTAACGAGAATTTCACTTTTAATCACAACTATCCAACTAGGTCAGTCAAAACCTAAATACTAATGCACAAAGGTGATGGTTTTTCAGCAAAAACTCTTCGGAAAAAGCTATTTCATTGTCAAAACGACTGCTCCAGCCATGGTCTGGCCGGCCAGTTCCGACTTTTGGAAAGCGCCCTTAGTGTCTTTACCCTTACACAAAATGCTTGACTTGTAGAGTTATGAAGAAGATACATGCATCAAGCCAATTTCATCAAGAAGCACAAACCATAATAATTCTTGGTGATTCATGCAGTCACAGCATTATTTTAACCTTGAAAAAGTTGGCCAAGTTTCAATCCATGATCATCTTTGTCATACATAGCAAGAGGTGATGGGAAACAGTGCCAATGCCTCAATTAAGTTTTAAATAACAGTAACTGGACCATTATTTTTGGAACTTCATTTAAGCCTCTCAAAGAACAAAATATAGCATAGCATCCCTTGTAAAAATTTATTAGCGATCGCGCCGCGATCGCGGAGCGATGGCAGCGATCGCGGCGCGATTGTGCATATCGCGGCGCGATTTAGATTAATCGCGCCCGCGATAGCGACGCGGTGATCGCGATCGCGGCGAGGTTATAGCGATCGCGGCGCGATGATCGCGATCGCGACGCGGTGATCGCGATCGCGGCGCGATGATTTTGATCGCGGCGCGATATCAGCGATCGCGATGCAATTGAAGTAAATCGCGCTTGCAATAGCGACGCGATGATCGCGATCGCGGCGTAGTGATCGCGATCGCGGCGAAGTTATAGCGATCTCAACGCGATGATCGTGATTGCGGGAAGATGATCGCGATCGCGGCGCAATTTTGAAAAATCGTATCTGCGATCCCAAGGTCAGGATTGCGATGCTGGCGATGAAATCGCGATCGCGGCGAAGTTATAACGATCTCAGAACGATGATCGTGATCGCAGGAAGAAGATTACGATCGCGGCGCGATTCAGAAAAATATTATCCGCGATCTCAGAGTCAGGATTGCGAACCTGGCGATGAAATCGCGATCGCAGCGGTATTGTACTTATCGGGGCGTGGTGAACGCGATCGCGGGGAAGATAGAGCGATCGCGGCGAAGTTATAGCGATCTCAACGTGATGATCGTGATCGCGGGAAGATGATCGCGATCGCGGCGCAATTTTGAAAAGTCGTATCTGCGATCCCAAGGTTAGGATTGCGATGCTGGCGATGAAATTGCGATCGCGGCGGAGTTATAACGATGTCAGCCCGATGATCGTGATCGCAGTAAGAAGATTACGATCGCGGCGCGATTCAGAAAAATATTATCCGCGATCTCAGGGTCAGGATGGTGAAGATAGAGCGATCGTGGCGAAGTTATAGCGATCTCAGCGGAATGATCGTGATCGCAGGGAGATGATTGCGATCGCGAAGACAGACAGTTTTTATTTTAGCTCGATGATATTAAACGCTAAGCAGCTGATGGGGTCGTGCAATTTTGAAAAATAGTATCCGCGATGGCAGCGACATTGCACTTATCGCGGCTTGATTTAGTAAAGTCAAATCCGTGATTTATATGTCAGGACTACGATCCCGATTTGGTAATCGCGATCGCAGGGGCATTGTGCTTACTGCTAAGCGGTGATTGCGATCGCGGTGCGATTTAGTTAAGTTGTAATCGGCGATCGTCGAGTGCCATATTGCTCTCGATCGTGGTGCAGTAATCGCGATCGCCAGGTGGTGATCACGATCAATTCTAATTAAGTTCGCGTCCGCAATCTCAGTGCCATTTACATCGCGAAGGAGATAACCGAGGATCACAGTTATCGTCGCGATTTCTGTTATAAGTTAGTCGTATGGTTATTATTCTGTTTGAGCTCTCACGTCTTTTACGCCCCTTTTAGTCTGGTTACTAGCTCGTCTTGTTATTCCTTATCGTTCGTGACTCGTTAGTTGTTTTTTTTATAACTGGCTATATTTAATTTGGTGTTATCAGGGACCGCCTTTCCCGTTTGTTATGGGCCGTAATTCGCACTGCGTTTGCCTTTGCACCCTTTTTTTCCACACGTTAGTTGATTCACACAGTGCATTGACTCTAAGGTTTCATAATGAAAGCACTTAATATTTTCGTTATTGCTTTGGAAAACTAATCGAGGCTAGTATGCATCCTTTGGCTTACTAACAGGCTTTCTAACTTTCCAGATGGCTTTCAAACTGCCGGATATTTAGCCTGTGCGAAAACGTACTCGTGAGTCTCGAATGTTTCTAAGTGTCGAAACGGCGTCGACTCTCAGGCTCTATGCCCAAGAAACCACAAACGCTCTACTGCTAAGCCATTCCTGTTTTCCTAATCCCTTGGTAATTCTAAACGAAGATATAATACTTTCAAACGATTATATTTAGAAAAAAAGATTTTGAAGAAAATCAAAAAAACATTCTGACTGCCGTGCAGCTTAGACCCTTCCCGGCTGCCGGGCATATTATTTTATTTTTATATTCCATTATGTTGTTCTTCAAAACTTGCGATTGTGAAAATTATTAGGGCAGGCAAAATAGTAATAATATTATAATAAAACACTGGAAAGTTAAGTAACTAAAAGACTACAGAAATATATCAATATCGGGAGGTCGAACATTCGGAAAAACTATAAGCTTATAATAACAGTCATTTTCAGTTTGTTAGAACTTTATCGGTTTCTAGAGAAGGCACGGTTTTCCTTGTGTTTTTGACCAGAGTTACATTAGCAAAAAGCTAGGAAACCTTTTCTCGCTCACCTCTAATTGAGTCATTTTAAGCCCAAGGATGAATTTCTGTTACGCTCCAGGCCTTAAGCTGCTGTATATAAGGATGTAATCAACATGATTTTTACTTAATGGTCCTTAATAACAGAAATGAATCCTGCATGTACGTGACGGTTTAATGCAGAGCATTGGGGTGCGATCCATTCAACCAAAATTCCAACCGGTCCGACCGGGAAAATTGGTCCACCTAAAAAGGTGGACCCGTTTTTTCGAAACTTTTCCGGTTGGACCGAACCGATCCATTGAGTTTTGGACCGAAATATTCCGGAAATTTTGGTTGAATGGATCGCGCCCTTGGGGACTGGATTCCAAGATCCGATTTCCCGCCACTGCGACGCGGGTGGCCAAGATTCAAGGCTGACGCGTACCTTGAAAAAGAAAATTGCTCTCAATTTCACTTGTCATGCAATTGGCAATGGCCGTTTATTGCTGTTTAAACATTGGAAAATTTTTCTTCATGACTCTTTTGACATGTTGAAAGTTCAAACAAAGAAACATACTTAAAAAGGTAAGTCTACTCACTTCTTATTATCACTAAGTTTAATTTTAAACCTAATTAAGGTTAAGCTTGATATTCATTCGGTGTTGTCGATTTTATACTTTCCGGCACTTTTCATAGTTTATAACACAATTAAGGTTAGCCTTTTTATTAGGCTTCTCAAACAAACAAAAGCTAAAAAAAATTCGAGCTACCTTTTAATAGTTCGAGAAAGCAAAACTTCTGATTTTGGAGCCTTCGTTTTTTTAGCTCATTTTTTTTATATCCTTCGAGGGGTGTAAGTCTTAAGCTACTTGAGCTGGACAACTCAGTGATTTGTCTTAATTTGAATATTTCAATACGCTGATTTCGGGAATAACTCTCTTGGTTAACTGGTTTTAATTTCTCAACAGGAAAACCGCTCTGGACGTACTGTGGGGCATAAACATGGCAATATACCAAGAGCCATGATGGCCTCTTGAATATTCTGCAGCAACAATTAATCTGGCAAAGACAACAGTTGTGAGTACTCAGTTTGTACATTATGTAAATTTCAAAGTTAACGTTTAGGCTGAAGACAAAACATGTGGGACGTCACATTAAATTGGCTTAATAAAGAAGTATGGAGAATTTCAGTGAGAATATTTAAGCACGGTAAATGAACATGAAACATATCATTAGCGTGAGGAAAAAAAAAAAAATTTTTATCCCTAATAGGATGAACCTATCTGAAGACATGGACAAGTGGATCAAAAGAAAAGAAATCAAAGCATATAGGCGGTTTCATTATCTCAATACTTCAGGATATAAAACGTTTTACTCTGCTCACACTTAGCTAAAAATAAAAAACACGATTCACTGAACTCTCACATACGACCTTTCTTTTGAAAATTCATTCCCTATTTAGATCCGTTTAAGTTGAAAATTTAGCTTTATCTTGACATGATTTATACTACCCTGCTTGCAGACTGAGTAGCTTCGATCTTTCCTAGATAAGTTCGGATAAGTTCCGGCCCGTTTTAATTTGTGATGTACGTAATTTTCGGGAAGAAAATAAGGTTAAACTACAAACGAAACTTTCCGATTTTTTATTGATCTGTTTGCCTTCTGAAGCTCGATTGTCGTAGGTGAATTTTGTTCTGTTATTTTTGCTTTTTTATGGCGCCTTAAATTACTTGTATGCATTTTTAGTTCAGGTATGCAATTAAGTGTTAAGAAAGCTAATTTCTGGTGTACACGGCGTACAAGAAATGTTCTTCCGATTTGCAAAAAAAAAAAAATTCGGTCGACTGGTTGAATTTTAAAACCAAAGTTTAGATAATATTCCAAAATAAATTTTGCGTACTATGTCCTTGGTCCGGCCAAACTAGCCAAATAGTGATTGAAAAGGGAAAGCCTGTTTGAAAATTTCCCAGTAACACTGCACTTTATTTATTAAGCAGTGATATAGAAGGCCATAAAATGAAACTTATATTTCATTTGGGAGCTGTAGCATTTAGCAAAGTCAAAAAACTTGGCAAGCAATGGGCCTAACAAGGAAAACATTACTCTGCACGTCCTGCACGTGCATTATGACGCACGCTTTTCGGTCGCAGCATGACTTAGACAACATTTTGGTGATGGGAGGTGTTTCTTGAGGACGTAAACAAGCGACGACAAATATTTTTTCCCTCTAAACTTTGATTGAATTCATTTAAAATGGTGGCGAATTGACCTTTTCACGGTTTAGTTTCTTCGAGAGACCAAACGTTAGCTCTTTACACAGAAATCTCAGTTTGGTTTCGAATTTTAAGTGAGCAGCCTTTAAAAATTATACAGGAATTTAGATCAGATGGTGCTTGGAAGGTTTCTTTTTACGCACTTTTGATGTCGGCTTCCAATTAAAGTAGCCAAAGTGGCCGGAACCACTGGCCGGACGAGGAGCTTTCAAACGGAGCGGTCATTTTCTATGATGCACGATTTTCGGCAAAGCTCAAAAGCTCTCCGTTTGTCACAAGTTAGTAAAATGTTACTGCAACTTTCAGGACAAATTTCAGCTCACTGCTCTTCTTCTGAGATAAGAAATACTCATTTATGTCTTTTTCGTTCGGACCGTGATCGCAACGAGAAATTCGGCCGAAAACCATCTGCGATCAATGACAGCGATCGCGGCGCGATTGCTCCAATCGCGCCGCGAACTTCGGTCAAAAACGCTAAGCGATCGAGAACAGCGATCGCTGAGCGATCACTGCCATCTCGCCGCGAAATCCGGCCAAAAACGCTAAGCGATTGATGACAGCGATTGCTCTCATCGCGCCGCGAAATCCGTCCAAAAACGCTTAGCGATTGACGACAGCGATCGCTCAGCGATCGCTCTCATCGCGCCGCGAAATCCGGCCAAAAACGCTAAGCGATCGACGACAGCGATCGCTAAGCGATCGCTCTCATCGCGCCGCGAAATCCCGCCAAAAACGCTAAGCGATTGATGACAGCGATCGCGCCGCGATCGCTCCCATTGCTCCGCGAATAACGCAGCGATCGCGCCGCGAAATCCGGCCAAAAACGCTACGCGATTTTGACAGCGATCGCGCCGCGATCGCGGCGCGATCGCTAATAAATTTTTACAAGGGATAACCTAGCCCTTTTAAAGCAATATAAAATGGAAAAGATGTTCACAAAGTTCTAATAATTATTATTGTTATAAATGATTATGCGTTACTGATCAACATTCAGTCAAGATGCCTGGATATTGGCCAGGCTCTTTTTTGCGAGGCCAATACCCAGCTTTCTTTACCGAACAAGCTTGATTGGTTTGCCCACTTGAGTAGCCAATTAGAACACAGGATTTGCTTCACCTTGCCCGCTCACGGATTCAACCATAAAATTGTAATAAATAATTATGCTTTATTGACCGGGTGTGAGGTTAAGATGGCTGGATATTTGCGTCTTTATTGACCCTGCCTTCCCTTGCAAGGCTGTGCTCTAAGAAAAATTGAAGGCAGCCCAGCACTCTGAACTTGTGAAATCCAGTGTGCCCAGAAAATGATTTCTATGAAAAAGCAAAGATTTTCGCCTGAGAACAAAAGTTACAGATGTAGGCACAACGGGCCACAGAGCACAGCCTGGTCTTGGTCAATAAAAATACAAAAATGAATGAGGTCAATATTCAGCCATCTTGAATGAACAAGCTTGGTCAATAAATGAATTATTACATGGCCAAGAAGAGAACTTTTACTTGCGGGACCAACGCAGGAAATCCCAAGTGGGCCAAATGGGCTCACCTTACCCCCTTGGGTAGCCAATTAGAATGCAAGGTTTGCTTCACCTTGCCCACTCGAGGTAGCAGTTGTCTTTAGCATAGAAGTAGTATTTCAAGATTAGCATTTGCAGAACTTGACTAAGCATAAAGCACAGTAACTTGAGACTGAAATTAAGTTCCATGAAACAGCCTGCTTTGAGAGAACGTTCTGCACCAACATCACATACCAAGGTGATCTGCCTAGCCTGTTGTATGAAAAACAAAACAAAGTGCTAATAAGTAAAACACAGAAGCTTTCCCCCAGGCTATCAGTGGGGGGGGGGAGGGAAAACCTTTTAGCAGTAAGACAACTTTACTAATGTAGATATTCTCATACAAATAAAAAATACTAAATGAGTAATATACATACAATTTACTGGCCGCTTATTATTTTTGACAACTCAGCTGTCTACTTCAAAACTTTCTGACAACCCTGATTCATCACATTACAATAATTTTACAAGCACACAGTTGTGTTTCATAGTAATAGTTAGTACATTATGTTGCCCGCAACCTGCAACGTTAAGACTATGGACCAGGGGTTACATGTACATGTAAATGTAAACAGAGGCTGTCTATGATTACCAGTACCAGTAACAAAAAGCCTACTTTTCAAGGGCACAACCTCCCTCAGGTTGTACATTATCATCTACACGTACAGGGTCAATACCAGGGGAAGCAGGGGAAAGTAACAAGGTCTGGGTGCAAGAAATGATGTTCTCACAACTTGTAAAGCGATAACCCTGGTGGGCAGCAGATAATTTACTGCAGTAAATGTATAATTCCGGTGTACAATGTATTACGCAAAACAAAGTTCCCACCAAACTCCCCCGAACAAAACAGTTTGGCCATCTAACAATATCAAACCAGCTTTCTGGAGAGTTTGATGCCTGAACAAAATCGAAACAAACCAAATTATATTGGAAAAAAATAAAATGTGAAAACTGAGTCAACTCAACAAGCCAGGGAAATCTGACAAGTGCTGGATTCAGAATATGCTACAATATTATTGAGGCCAATTATGTAGTGAAGAGTAATAACTGAGATGATTACCAAGATGATTTCAACTTGCAGATTTAAAGACAAAGGGTGATCGATCGATTTGAAGATTTGTTGGTAGAATATCCTGTTTGTGCGATTTCTGTAGCTGTTGTTTAAAGATGTATATAAATATTTTAGTCTTTTTGTGCTTTAAAAATATAGGACTATATTTTCATTTTAGTAAACCGTCATAAAAAGTTTTGGCATCTGTCTCCAGATTAACTGTCTGGTTAAAAGGCCCATACCAAGCATTTTCAATTAAGGACTCCCTGTTTTTTAACTGGGACTCACTGGTTGTGCATGTGGACAGGCCAGAACTCTTGACTATTCACAAAATGAGTCCCAGGACTCACCATGCATATACTATTTGTAACAAAATCACTGGAACCCTCTAGCCATTTTTCTACAATCATTTCACAGACCTCACAGTGCAGCGCCTTGCCTTGTTTAGTAAGAGGATTCAGGTTCATTATGTCGCAGTTTCCTGCTCGGGAAATTACTGTACTTATCAATCACAGCTTTGTGTCAACAAATATGTCTCCCAAGCATTATCTCAAATGCTACAGACCACAAAAATGAAATATGGAAAACTGTTAAGCTTACCTCGTCTTACTATCGGTATTCCATCACAATCCTCCGCCTTGGATAGCCTTAGCACGGTAAAACACTCCAACTTTCAAATTATACTTGCGCATCACGAGGTTTTTGTCTCACATTCTGCTCCACTGTGTCAGAAAAGAGTCGCTTTACGAGGGAAGCGATCGATTACTGAAGGCCGATGGGTCGCTAAATATACATAACAACCCTTAGATGTCTTGTGGTATCATCAGAAAGCAAAAATATACCGATTCCACGCTCCTAGAACCTATAGAAGCTGGCAAATTTGAAGCCGTTGAAATCACTTTCAAAATGGACGCCAAAAAGAATGACCGTAATGAGCATGAGCAAAGGAAAAGTCCGCTGACCAGCACTCCGCTCTGTTCTAGGCCCCATTCTCTCTTGTTTTCTCTGTTGTTTTCTCCGTCTAAGAGCATTTTAGTTTTACGCCAGTACTAGTACTGATTACCATCAATCTGGCAAATATTGAAAGCTGTTGGTAAGCTCTGCGATTTTTATCACTTAGAATGGAAAGCAATGGCAACCTCGCTCACTTCACAGTCTTTGCATCAATGCAACGCGCGCGAGTAATGCATGAGAACCGTTTAAGGTGGTTCCGTGATTAACACGAGAGCATTTAGCTGTGACAAATTTTCCGTCATAACTTTTTCGATTTTAATGCAATGGCTGTGAAACTTGGCAAATAACAACAGATATCATTCGGCAATAATACGAACTATTCCGATTTCATTGATGGCAAATATTTCTTGAGAAATTAGCCCTTAAAAGGACCCTACTGTTCAAAGAAAATCGCGTCTAGTAACAAATTTTGCTGATATTTTTTACTGAAATTTCTGGTATCGGCTTTAATTGATATAATGAATATGCCAGAGGAATTTCAGCAAAATCTTTGGAGCAGAAGTCCGTAACTAAAAGTCGGTCAAAATTCAGCTGTGAAATTGTTTTGGAATTTCAAAAATAAATTACTATCAGGAAGAAGGAGACACCAGTTTCAATTTTCGGGACAAGCAACTTCAGTGTGTTTCCTGATTCTGAAAACAGAAGCCGATTGCCTATCGTGCTATTCTTTAAAAGGTAATTTTCAGTTTTTAGAAGCACTATAAATTGCTCCAAACTTTGCTCTGACATCGAATGACTTGTTCCTCGACATTTTTAAAATATCCCTTGGCAGTTTTGGTTCAAACTCCTGCTACACACATTTAGATGTATTGCAAAGCATCCCCAACGGCTTTTCCTGCTTTACGTTGTTTCCAATTCAGGAAAAAGGTATTGGGATTGTAAGCTACCTAGTATCGAAGCTCAGATAGAACTGTCCAGTACCTTTGTTTATGACCAGAAAATGAGCACGAGCGGCAGCTCTGCGAGGAATTCGCACCTCAGCCTGGGGGGACGAGTGACAATGATGCCCATGTCTGTGAACCGATCTGTATAAACATGTATTGCAGAGCAAAACATAATAATCAAGAAAAAAATACCCATTCATTGAAGGAAGGAGTGACAAAAATTTCAGAGTTGTAAATTGATTCACGGGCAGTAATTTTGCGATAATTTTATTTCGCACTGTGATGTTATTTGGTTCACAAGCATGGTCATCATTGTCGTTCGTCCCCCCTGGGTGAGGAGCGAATTCCACGCAGAACTGCCGCTCGTGCTCATTTTGTAGTCATAAACAAAGGTGCTGGACAGTTCTTTCTGAGCTCTGATACGAGGTAGCGTCCAATCTCAATACTTTTTCCTGAGTTGGAAGCAACGAACGGCAGTAAAAGTCGTTGAAAATGCACGGCAATACATCAAAATGTATGCAGCAGGAGTTTGAGCCAAAAGTGCCAAGGGATATTTTAAAACTGTCGACGAACAAGTCATTCTACTTCAGAGCAAAGTTTGGAGCAATTTATAGTTCTTCTAAAACTAAAAAGTACCTTTCAAAGAATAGCACGATAGGCAATCGGCTTTTGTTTTAAGAATTAGCAAGCGTTGAATTTACTTGTCCCGAAAATTCAAACTGGTGGCTCCTTCTACCTGATAGTAATTTATTTTTGAAATTCCAAAACAATTTCACAGCTGAATTTTGACCGACTTTTAGTTACGGACTTCTGCTCCAACGATTTTTCTGAAATTCCTCTGGCATATTTATTATATCAATTAAAGCCGATACCAGAAATTTCAGTAAAAAATGTCAGCAAAATTTGTTACTAGACGCGATTTTCTTTGAACAGTAGGGTCCTTTTAAGCACTAATTTCTCAAGAAATATTTACCGTCAGTGAAATCGGAATATTTTGCGTTATTGCCGAATGATATCTGTTGTTCTTTGCCAAGTTTCGCAGCCATCGCGTTAAAAACCAAAAAGTTATGACGGAAAATTTGTCACAGTTAAATGCTCTTGTATTAATTACGGAGCCACCTTAATCTCGAGAGTAAATTTACCTTTATTCACCTTGATTGTACGCCAAGGCAAAGTTTACGAAACATTGATCATGCGATCTTGGACATGGGTTAAAAAAAAAGAAAAAAATTCGTCACCTGAAACGTAACGGAAACAAGAAAGAACGGAAATGTGATGACAGAAATGTGGCGGAAACATGATCGTTCGTTTCCGACGCGGAAACATGGCGGAAACGCGTCCCGTCCATGGAAAACTAGATCACCATGTTTCCGCAGGGCGGAAACGTGACGGATATAAGCAACTTCCCGTTTCCGTCGAGTTTCCAAAATACGGAAACACGATGGATCCAGGAAGATTAGATGCAGAAAAAGTCGGAGTCGGAAAACAAATAAAATTGTGGCACCTGAGGTGACAAGATAGTTTGAAATAGGACTGGTCACTTTTGTATTCGAATTATTCAAGTTCAATTTTACAGCGTCACCTGGAGGACACAAAGAAAATACAGTTTTTTTTTCTTGCTTTCTTTTCTTCTTTTTTCTTTCTTCCTTTTTTTTCTTCTTCTATATTTTATAACCCCTTTTTGGGTATTTTATGGGTAAGTAAAAGAAAACATTTCTTTCAATTTTTTTTCTGTTTTTGTTTTGTTTTTGTTTTGTTTTGTTTTTTTAAAAAACAACAACAACCACAACAACTGCTTACATCTTGTATAAAACACCATTTTAAAAGCTCCGGCTCCAGTTTGAAACCTTAAAAAAAAATGTTAAAGGCGCACGATGAGTATACACAGGAAGAAAGCGTGACTGAGGGAAACGCAAAGCGGGGAAATAAACTAAGGCAAGAAACTAAAATGGATTATTGTTTAGGTGAAAGATTGGAATTATACTCTGTTTCATCACTTTTTTTTACTGTGAGCTATTATTCTTCTTGACGTACGCGATAATTTCTTTTGTCGATTGTATTCACCATATTGACACATCGGACGCAATGAAATAGTCGATAACCCATGCGGGAGCTAATAAATTACACATTTCATATGATGCGTTGATTAGTTCAGTCTTTATTCAAGGCCTCTATAAACCGAAAACTCAATCAATAATCGACTCCTCGATTTTTAAACTCCTTCTTTATATATTCGCAAATTTGCCGCTTTTAATCTGAGGAAGGTGGAAGGGTTTCTTTAATTCTTTTTCCCTATTATCTTTGTTTTCGTTGTACTTCTATTCATGATTGCTTTTTAAACCCCAAGCGTCACTGAGGCGTCGTAATTAATATGTAGTTTTCGGAAAGTGTAGTATATTGCGCATAAATTTGGTGGCGTTTATGAAGTTTAAACTTTAAAAAAAATAATAATGTAACGTTTGACGCTGAGGAGCTACAGCGCAATTAGACTGACTTCCGCATGTGCACTGACGTTAGGCCATATGAATTGACTTTTCAGAAAGCAGTATTACGTAGTTAAGTAAAAACTGAGTGATGCATATAAGCGAAATTACAGGTCTATGAAATCAGAAAACTTTTCAATTTCGAAAAAGTTCTAGGAAACTGTTAAGTCTATATATTTTTTTTTTTCTTTACTGCCAATTCGCAAAAACAGTTTCTTTCTTAATGATTTATAAATATTTAATACACTTCGTCAGCGTCTGTGACAACCAAAATGTTAATGTCGAGTATCTCATTATGGTGACAACTTGCAATAAATGCATTTTATCACAAGCAAATTTTTAAATTCAGACTTTATAAACAGTTCTATCACTACCCAACTGTTTTTCAGCTTTTAAAACCCAAAACGGAAAATTTACGATTTATAATTTAAAAAAAGTATTGTATAAAGCATAGAAAATTAACCCATTTGTGTTAACAATATTAACACATTGTATATAAACAAGGGTTTAAGCTTAAATACTCTTCAGGCGCCAGCTGCAGATCTCTGTTATACTTCGTTGTTATTTGAGGAATTGCTCAACGCCTTGTGATAAAGGAGCTAACCTACAATAATACAATACAATAACTTTATTTAAAGAGGGAAGCGCAATGACCTATTACAGTTTTCTAACCTACGGCCCTCAATAACCTATTAACCTGCTTTAAAGAAGTCGAATGACCGGCGGTAAGTTCCTTTTGACATGTATATTCCTGATCATCCTTCGTGGTGAGTTAACAGTGAATTAATGTACTTCTTCGCTCTTTCGACACCAAGACACAGCGAATGCATTGTTAGGGTATATCTTTTGTAAATGGTATTTGCAATTTTGATGGGCTAATACTTAAAGGTTTTAAAGCTTTAGAGCAATAATATTTGGCGTCTTCGTTTTTTTTTTTTTTTCTCTCTCTTTTTTTTTAATTTTTTTTTTTTCAATTTTTCGCCCTTAAAACAAGAAAAGAAAGAAAACTGCCAACCGAGCCACTACACCCTATACACTATATTATGTTTCCATAAAAATCTTCAGTTCCGTCGTTTTAATTCTACC